CTGGAACGGCAGCTACTGCGGGAAATGACCCACGGGGCTCCACTCACCTCGCCCTCGCCCTTGGCAGCCAGGTAGTTCATTTCCTCCACATCGACCAGTTTGATAAAATTGCAAGGCATTGGGGCACCCACGTGGCCTGCATATTGAAGGAGAGAGTGATTATGCCTATGGGGACTGCTGGCACTCCCAGGGCAGCCACTTGACAGAGACAGGCTGGGCATTAAGGGCAGCTCGGGAAATGCCTGGTTTGTGCAACTGGGGCCATCCTCGCTCTGGTAAAACAGTTTAGCTGAGTTGACCCCTAGCATGGAGACAAAACATCCAAAAACGCTCCTAGGAGATTTCCCAATGTTTGATGCACTGAGTCATTCTTCAGAGGGTAATTCAGCTGCTCGGTTTAAGGGCTACTCTGAATATCTGGAAACAAACCTTCTAGAACTTTCACCTGGCTCCCCTATCTGACTGCTTTGCCCATGACCTGTCCCCTGCTGTTCGCCATAACAAGGACACAATGGGTACAGCTTCAGGGGACCCTGATTACTCACAAACACACCAGCTGGCTCTGATCAGATGGCCTTCGTTTCCTTAAGGACAGATTCACATTTAGTAAAAGAGGACAAGGCTTGTTTTCACAGCCACCTTAAGTCTCCTGCCAGTGGGTGTTCATTTGAGCTATCTTTCCAAAAACCAAAAACCAAAGTAATGGATATTATACACTCTTGAGAGTGTCACATGGGGCCGGCATTGTTTGCCACACTGGCATCCCACTAGGAGTACTGGTTTGAGTCCCTGTTGCTTGCTTCTGAGCCAGCTTCCTGCTAATGCACCCAGGAAAGCAGCAGCAGATGGCCCAAGTACTTGTGCCCCTGCACCCATGTGGGAGACTCAGATGGAGTTCCAGGCTCCTGGCTTTGTCCTGGCTCAGCCCTGGCTGTTGAGGCCATTTGGGGAGTGAACCAGCAGACAGAAGATCTTGATCTCTTTCTCTTTCTCACTTTGCCATTTTTTTTTTTTTTTTTTTTTTTTTTTTTTTTTTTTTTACAGGCAGAGTGGATAGTGAGAGAGAAACAGAGAAAGGTCTTCCTTTGCCGTTGGTTCACCCTCCAATGGCAGCCACGGCCGGCGCACTGCGGCCGGCGCACCGCGCTGATCCAAAGGCAGGAGCCAGGTGCTTCTCCTGGTCTCCCATAGGGTGCAGGGCCCAAGCACTTGGGCCGTCCTCCACTGCACTTCCTGGCCATGGCAGAGAGCTGGCCTGGAAGAGGGGCAACCGGGACAGAATCCGGCGCCCCGACTGGGACTAGAACCCAGTGTGCTGGCGCCTCTAGGTTTAGGATTAGCCTATTCAGCCGTGGCACCGGCCTCACTTTGCCTTATAAATGAATAAATACATAAATAACTCTTAAAAAGTATCATAAATAGTTCTTATGTTTTAATAATTTTAGCTTACAGAGATCTCTATTCCAAATTCTCTGTAAGGAACCAGGGTTAAAAATTAAACACCATGAAGAAGGCTCATGGCCTGTGAGCCTCAACCCCAGTAGAATTATGGTATGAGATGTGCTAGACCCAGGGCTTGCGTTGTGCTGTAGTGGGTTAAGCCAGCACCTGCAATGCCAGCATCCCATATGGGCACCTGTTCGTATCTTGGCTGCTCCATTTCTGATCCAGTTGCCGGCTAACAGCCTGGAAAAAGCAGTGGAAGATGACATTCTTGGGCCCCTGCCACCCACATGATAGACCCCGATGAAACTCCTGGCTCCTGGCTTTGGCCTGGCCTAGCACTGGCCATTGCAGCCATCTGGGGAGTGAGTCAGTAGGTGGAAAATCTCTTTCAAATAAATAAATAAATCCTTCTAAAAAAAAAAAAAAAAAAAAAAAAAAAAAAAAAAAAAAACGAGAACCTATGTTCCTAAATGGTGCGCATATTTATAACAAGTCAGGAATATGTACTTATCAACGTGGCACAGCAAAGCAGGGGAGTTTTGCAGTCAGATGCGGGTTGAAATCCTAGCTCTGAAGCAAAATGCTGTGTGAGCCCTTATGCACTACATCCTATTTAAGCAACACCCTGATGTCCTCTCAGAGCTAAGAGTACATATCCTACAGGGATCACAGGGATGTTGGTGGACGGCACTCCCATAACACACACCAAAGCACCCAACCCAGAACCTAGTCCAGGACAGGTGCGCAGTTACTTCTGTCTATCCGCCCCCTATAGCCCTTTGAGAAAAAGGTCTCGTGTTTACTCCTGTCCTGTGCCCAGTATAAACTTAATAACTAGCTGTGGATTAAAACTACCAGCAAACACTGAGGCTCTAACTCATTACTCCGCTCTGCTGGGCCGGACATTCTCAATCAGTTGCAAAGGGCACCCTTTCCTGGGGGTGGCTTTAGAGCTGGGCAAAACTTCATCAGCCACAGGGCACCTTTCCCCAGCTCCCCGACTTCCAGGACCGTCTGCCCCGCGGCCTAATTATGTGGGACAGAGCACTTGTTCAACTCTTTCAATGAACCAGTCAATGATCGGTCTGTCAACTCCCAACCATTCCAATAACCTCATCAGCATAGTAAGACTGCAGCAAAGGCTCCCGCCGTCTCACCTGCTGTCCAGTCTCCAGGCACGCTCAGGCAGCACCCGGCGGTGCACTCGGTCTGTCCGTAGCCTTCATAGAACTGTGTCACCAAGAGAGGAAAGACGATTAGCAAGCAAGAGCCTTACCTTTGCTGAAAGTGCACAAGTGATTAAGTGCCACTAACTGCTGAGTGATGGCTGTCTGGGAAGTCTCTTCTCAAATTCTCTGCTTGGTGACTGTCTATCCAAGAGCACAACACGCCTTATGGCAGCAGCCTAACACCCTTGCTCCCACAACAACTGCCTGTCCACGTCCATCTTCTACTTCACTTCCTGTGCACAGCAAAGGAGAAGCCCCACGTGGCAGGTCACGGCCTGCCCTGGAGTGCACGTGCCTTGTCAGGTCACAGGCGTGCCTTACACATCCTGTCTGCACCACGTCTTGCCTACTCCTTTAAAGTAAGTTTCTGGCCTGGTGTGCAAGTACATGTATCATTCAGGACCACTCCCCTACCCCATGCCTGTCTCTAAAGGCTTATCTTATGCCTTACCCTGGAAAAAATAACACAGATGGTGGACACAACACATATTCCCTGCCTAGGATAAGTAAGGTTTATACGTTTATGTCCCTAAACCCTCTAGTATTAACATATCCTCCAAACAAGAAAAAGATAGGTACACAAGGCAGGGAGTAGGGAGAACTGGAGAGATTCATTCATTAAAACTCATTCTCACTTTCAGAAGCACTCTTCTGCAGAAGAGGAAAGCAAAACTAAAGTTCAGCATAGGGTTCTGATAGGATGATTTAAGCTTTCTATTTCATGGTTAGAGAAGCGGCCAAGCACATCTTGACAACAGGCTGTCTAACCATCTTAGCATCTCCTCTGCCATCTGGTATATTCATGTAACAGTGACTCCATACTCCTTTCACCTCTGCCATTCTTTTCTAATGCACGGGCTTTGATCATAATTTGCTAAGTAATCCTAAAACATCTACATTTTCTAGATAGGGCCAAATTACTGAAGAAGCATAAGGCTCTAGTGAAAACACAAGTGTATGAGCAGGCGCTCAACTCGTGCCCCGCCTTGGATATGGTGAATGGCAATAAGGAAGACCGTGATCCATAAAGTCAGTCCCTCATGGAGTTTGCTCACAATCTCCTAGGGAAGAGAAAACAAGCCGCTGATGGGGGTATGACACATCCCTGTTAGGAAATGCCAGGTGTGAAAGGAAGGTATAATAGGAAGTCTTCCTTTGAGCCGTTTAATGAGAACAGAACTGAAGTAGGATTCCTACCCATAAGCAAATTGGATGTGTCAGAGCGGGAATGCAGGATTCTGTGGTCTGAGCATGGCCGAGGGGTTTCAGAACAGGGCCACATGGCTAAAGGCATGAGTCGGAAGGATTCAGGAAAAGCCTTCAGCTGTGAAAGGCATTGGCGTTTAGGGCTTGAAACGAGCTTTCTGTAAGAACTAAACCACACAGTCAATCCGAGAAAAGCTAGGCCCCCGGACCCAGAAGGCAGCAGAGGCCAAGCCCTCGCCCCAGTAGCAGGAGGCACAGCCCTGAGGGAAGCGCCTCACAGTCTGCACCGCTCGCCTCCAGCCCTCGGGGCACCCTTGACCCGCGCCGCCTCCCTTCGCGATCCACCCCTCGGCCTGCAGTCCCCGCTTCCCACCCTTCCCGGCCGGGCCTCCTGCTCTAGGGTCCCAGTGCCCCAGCCTGGCCGCCCGGCTTCCAGCACTCTCCTCCTGGCGCGGGACCGGGTTCTGGCTCCCGGATCCAGCCGCCTGCCCCATCCTCCCTCCTGGCCCTCCCTCACCCGCCCCTGGGCCGGCGGGGGTCTCCGCCCGCTGGGCTCCCGCTGCCCGGCCTCCCCTCTCTGGGTCTTGGCTCCCTGCCCAACGCTCCCCTGCAACCGCCGCCGCAGCAAAACAAAGGACCCGCCTGCCAGACCGTGCCCATCCTTCCCGGCTCCCCGCAGCAGCTGCAGACCAGGCCGCGTCCCCGAGGCGGGCGCAGGGTGTGGGAGGGCGGAGGGAGTGGGCCCAGGACAGGTGGCGCCTGGGGGAGAGCGGGCGAGGGCTGCACTCACCACAGTCTCCACACGACCAGCAGCACCTGCCTGCTCCACGTCTACACAGCTTCCGCCGACTGCCGAAGCTGGAGGTGAGCTCGGCAGCTGGCCCCGCCCCCCTCTGCCCCGTCCCGCCCCTCAGCTCGTGCGCGTCCTCCTCTCGCAGGCACGTCCCGCCCCGCGCCGCTCCGAACGCAGCCCGGGGCCAGGCTCGGCGCGCCCCGCCTCCCCGCCGCGGCCGCCCCGCCCCGCGCCTTGGCCCCGCCTCCCCGCCGCAGCCGCCCCGCCCCGCGCCTTGGCCCCGCCTCCGCGCCGCGTTTGAAGTCCGGCTCCCGCGCTCAGCTGCGGACCCCGGGCTTCCTCCCGCGTTTGGGAGCGTCGGAGAGAAGCCGCCTGAGACTCGCAGGCCGCGCCCGGCCCAGAAACGGACAGAGAAAGCCGACAAGGCCGGGGGTGCCTCCCGCTCCGAGCTCCGGAACGCGCGCTGGTAATCTCTGCTTCCCTCAGATGCCCCGAGACCCGGCCTTGGATTCCTGGGCCCCTAAATCGGACGCCTTGCCTGCCCTCCTGGGGCGCGGCCTCCTTTGGGTCCGGGGCTCGGTTCAGACTTGCATGCAAACTGTGACGCGTTTTCACGGGAGGATATACCAACACACCTGAGCGCAAATTCTGCGGCGGATTCCGACAGCTCTGTGATATGCCAAGCACAGATCAGCCATTTGTCAGGGCTACAGTCAGGGCCTGTCTTTGAGGCGCAGAAATATGTGCCCCCCCCCCCATCCCATTTTCTTACTGTATCGCTGCGACAGGCCCTTGAAGAGTTCCAGTCCCCACCAGGGCTTAAAAAGGTGGAGCCCTTTCCTTAGGCCAAGGGGAGAGTCGCGGGAGTTAAACTCCGGCCTAAATTGGGCTTTTGACTCCCTGCTGGGGTCAGGGCGACGAGTGCCTGCAGCGGAGCTGAGCGCTGTGGCGGGCGGGGATTCCACTGGGGGCAGGCGCAGGGGCAGGTGTGGTTGAATGAGCCCCCGCCCCCCACCCGTAACAGAATGATGCTTCCGGTAAATGGGCGCCAGCTGTCTGCTGTCTTCCTGGGAGTTGTTTTAGTTTACTTAGCCTGCAGAAAGTTACAGTGAGACGGGCTGGCGGAATGTCTGATGACTGACAGCAGCCGCTCCTCTTCACAGGCGTGGCAGAACGTGAGCCCGACCTTGAAGGGGAGGAGAAAGGCCGCGCGGGGCGTTCCGGGTGCAGGAGGGCTTCTGGACCGGCCCAGGAGCAGCGAGTGGGCACTGTCGCTGATTCGGTGGAAACAGGACAGAAGTACAAGCTGCTTTAGGACCTGGTCCTGGAGGGGTTTAGTCTTCGCGGGGTGTACTCCGAGGACTTGAGTGATGCCATGGAGTAGGAGTGGGTATCCCTGTGAGAGGTTAGGGCAGGCTGTAAGGATGATTAGTTGGGCATTTGTGCTGTTTAGTTGAAAGCTCCTGTGCAGAGTATAGGGAAGAGTAACCGGATAAGAACAATACATCCCTGTGTGCTTTCTTAACCCTTACGAGACGTTTTTGAGGAGTTTAGATATGTTACATCTATGTAGGCATAAAGGCTAAGAAAGAAAAAATTCTGTCATTCTAATTTTTTTAAAGATTTTATTTATTTGAGAAGTAGAGTTACAGAGAGGTCGTCTTTCCACTGGTTCACTCCCCAGATGGCCGCAATGGTCAGAGCTGCACCGTTTCGAAGCCAGGAGCTTCCTCCGGGTCTCCCACGCAGATGCAGGGGCCCAAGGACTTGGGCCATCTTGTACTGCTTTCCCAGGCCTTAGCAGAGAGCTGGACTGGAAGAGGAACAGCTGGGACTAGAACCGGTGCCCAAATGGGATACCAGCACTGCAGATGGAGGATTAACCCACTGCACCACAGCACCAGCCCCTCTAATTTATCCAGAAGTAAACATACAATTAAAATTACTGTAAGTTCATTATGGAATTAATTTTTAACAGTATTTATGTGAAAGAGTGACAGAATGAGATCATAATCCACTGGTTCACCCCCCAAATAGCTATAACAGGCAGGCCTGTGCCAGGCAGGTGACAGGCAGTCCATCTGAGTATCCCACCTGGGTAGTTGGAACTCAAGAACTTGAGTCATCAGCTGCTTCTACCCAGGTGTATTGGCAGGCAGCTGGATAGTGGAGTACCTGGGTCTTGATCCTGCACGTCAGTATGGGATATGGGTGACATCCACTGTGCCACAACACTTGCCCCACAGAAAATTAATATTTTAAAAGATCGTATTTAAAATTCAGAGTTAGAGGGGGAGGGAGAGTAGGAGGGAAAGAGGGAAATAGATACCTTTCATTTCGCTGGTAACTCCAAGTGGCTGCAGCAGTCGGGCTGGACCAGGCTGAAGCTGGGAGCCTGGAACTCCATCTGGGTATCTCATATGAGTGGCAGGGGCCCAAGCACCTGGGGCATCTTCCTCTGCTTTCCCTGGCACATTAGCAGGGAGCTGGATCAGAAGTGGAGCAGCCACGACTCGAATCAGCACTCATATGGGATGCCAGTGTTACAGGTAGCACCCCAACGCCATCCTGGAAAAATTCAATCACATATTTCTTATGAATATGATAGCAGTAGAAGCAACACTATAAGTCATACTTAATAAAACACTTTCAAATATCAGAATGTTAATAAATAATAGAACTGTAATAATACCAGAACACACAAGATACTGTTGAATCTGATCTTAAATAGAGGGAGAAGTTGGAGTTGGGGGATAGAGATGAACTTATGAGTAAACAAACGAGAACAAGGAACTGGAAGAACTGGGCTGGGGGAACCGTGGCCAGGTGGGTTTCAGTCTTCCTGGAAGCCAGTGATAGAAAGCACACGCCCCTAGTCCAGCTGATTCTGAGAACCAGACCATAGAAGGTCCCAGCTGGGCAAGTCTGGGCATTAACCTCGGGCAACCAGGGCTCCACTTCATCACCTGTGCCCCTTTCCGCACTAGTACTCTAAGAACACTAAGCAGCTGTTTTTCTTAGACCACCTTTAGTTGTAAAATCTGTAACCAACATGGTTAAATAATGTTAAGAAATAATAGAGCTCTTTAAGCCTACTTTTAAAAAATATATTTCCCTTTGGATGTTGCAAACTTAACAAAAATAGTTATGGTCCCTGGTGAATAGGAACTAGGATGTATAATCATACAAAGGAAAGACAGCACTCTTTCTCCACCAGGAATTAAAAGCATTGCTAACATGGTGAGAGGCTCCCGGAGGGTGGGGATGAGGAATATGATAGTGCCAAATCAGAATGCCAGATGCCTTCCTGTTCTCCATTTCCTTTGCTTCTGTCATTCAAACCTCCTATGTGAATAGCTCAAGTCCCAGTTGTCTTCTGATCCTCACCCCAGCTGTTAAAATTTTTGCTGCACAAAGGACACAGAGGGTACGATGTGTACTGAACTCATTTTCTTTATATCTGTGTTGATGCTTATGGTTTCCCCAGTCCAGTGAGTCAAACTGGTTTTCCATTGTGACTTCAGGACTTCAACATTTGACACATTTGCGTGGTCATATAAAGATTTCTACAAAATCAACAATTTTTCCTGGTAATGGGCTGGTGTTGTGACATAGTGGGTTAAAGCCAGTGCCTGTGATGCTGCCATCCTATATGAGTGCCTGTTTGAGTCCCAGCTGGCCCACTTCAATCCAGCTCCCTGCCTATGTGCTTGGGGAAAGCAGTGGAAGGCGGCTCAAATGTTAGGAGCCTCTGTTACCAACATGGGAGACCTGGGTGAAGCTCCTGGCTTCTGTTAGGCCCGGCCCCAGCCATTGTGGCCATTTGGGGAGTGGAGCAGTGAATGGAAGGTCTCTGCCTCTCCCCCTCTCTCTGTAACTCTAGCTTTCAAATAAATAAATACATCTTAATTTTTTTTTTCTTAGTAAGATTTCAGTGTCTTGGTGTGAACATCTACTTGGTTGCTCATAGTTGTTGGTTAGATCCTATTAGATTGAGGTATGATCACATCCAGTCCTTACTTTCTTCACTGAGTAATCAGATTTGTATGAAAACTAGTAAATTTCAAAGAAAGTCAACTTCTCAATTAGCTTTATCTAAATACAGTGGTATTTTATCCATATGTGAATTGGAGTAACTGAACATTCAGATTCTATTTTATGAAAAGGAACCATTGACAAGTTAAAGCAGTTTCTTGGTAACAAATTGCCCATCTCCTCAATCCAGGAAATGATACTCCTTTCTGAGGCATACCTGTTGTGAACTTTAAATCAGTGCCTTTAGAATTTGTTTCTTGGCTTATAATTTTCATATGGATTAGGTATAACTAAGAATAATCTTGGGTCTGTTATGGTAGATGTCAGATTTGAAATCTGAATCTTAAGCCTTTTATTCTAAGGTCTGATACTGCTCTCCTTTCTGAACCTTTCAAGGGGATTCTATTTTTCCTTTTAGGGACCATATCATTTGCCAGTGAACTTCTGTTGCTGCAAAATTTTCTGCTAAAATTCAAGGTAATGTTTATCAACTTGCTAAACAGAAAGGCATTGCCAAAGGTAAATAGAAATTCACTCTTAAATGCTTTATTATGTATTTCCCTTTAAAACACCTGATGTTTTTCACACAAGTAAATTATGATAGATGTTAATGAAGAGAAACTCTCAAATACTATTTCTTTATAAAGATCATTCCCAAACTTAATGGTTTAAAAAAAGCTACATTTTTGTTACAGTTCTGTGGATTGGCTAGGCAATTCTGTGGGTCTCTCCTGGAGTTGACTCATGCATCCTGTTCAAATGATGGATCATCCACACTGATTTAACTGACATATTTGATAGTTGTGGCTATTGGCTGGGATTCTTGGTTCTACTCCATATTGCTTTTAATCTTCTATGAGATTAGAATTATAGCATGACAGTTTCAGGGTAAGACTCCCGGATAGTCAAAGCTGATGCAGTCACTTACTAAACCTCTGCTTGCTTCATATCTGTCAGTGTGACGTTGGACAAAGCAAGTCAGTGTGAGAGCAAGCTTAGATGGCATCTCTTATTGGGGAAAACCAGCAGTGTTTTGTGGCTGTTTTTAAATTTACAGTGGAAGTTTTCTTCCTGTTCTAAAATACATTGTCCTTTTTCCTTTGTAGATAAGTCGGGAAAAATGTTGCCTGGTTCCCTTACATTGGCCTGGCTAGCATATAAGTATCATATGGAAGCAAAATTCAGCCATTACTATAGACACCCCAAACTAGCCATATTGTAATTCTTTCATTACACCTGTTTTCCCAAATAAAAGTTATTTTGGGAGAGAAGAAGAGAAATGGACAAAAATAGTGGAAAAGAAAAATAAAAAATGCATGTTGGTATCTATTCATGAACTCTGCATTAAGAAATAATACAAGAGCAGTAGCAAAGGTAGCAGCACAAGCTGAGCCAGGTAGTTAGCACTTGATGGAATACAATAGTTACAATAAAAACTATAGTGATACAAAAAGCACTTACGTATACATGAGGCTTTGTAATTTGTGACACATTTTTATCACATTCTCATAGGAAATTTATAAAGTATTGAAGATGATGTTGATTCTCATTTTGCACTTGGTTAAACTAAGATTCAGGAAGCTTTATTATGTTGTCCAAGGTCACGGTACTGTTTCATGGAAAAGCCAGAATTTAAAGATTTCTGATAAACAACTTTTCTGCTTGTAAAACTCCATCCAAGAAGCACCTGGCTCCTGGCTTCAGATCAGCGCAGTGCGCCGGCCGCAGTGTGCCAGCCGTGGCGGCCATTGGAGGGTGAACCAATGGCAAAAGGAAGACCTTTCTCTCTGTCTCTCTCTCACTGTCCACTCTGCCTGTCAAAAAAAAAAAAAAAAAAAACCCTCCATCCAAAGAATAAAATATAAAGCCCACAAGAAAATAAGTGCCAGGAAATGAGTTTTGAAATCTAATCAAACAAAAATTCTAAATAAAGAAACTAATAGTCTTTTTGCTTTTAGCAGTAATCGATAGAAAGATCACATGCCGTAGGAATTGTTCTTGCCTTCTGAACCAATGAATAGAAAGTGGGAAGAAAAACTGAAGCAGATTGAGGAGCGAGCATCTCATTACAAGAGGAAACCACTGTGCTCAGTGTATAGACCAAGCCTGTCCAGGCCAGAGCAACCACCCTCCATTTGGAAGCTATTTCGTCGTCAAACTGAAGCTTTTAATTTCGTCAAAAGCTGTAAACAGGTAATTGCCTCATTTTAAATTTTTTATAGATCTATAAGATTTCTTAAACTTGAGTTTGCAGGCATTTGGGGAATGAACCAGTGGATGGAAGATCTCAGTCTATAACTCTGCCTTTCAAATAAATCAATTTTTGAACTTCTGTTTCAGAACCTGGTATTTTAAAAAATCTGAAAATTGAATAAAATTCTTTATGAACATTCAGTATCTACAGTTGAATTTAGATGTTTTTTTTTTACTTTTTTGAATATTTTTTATTTTATATAGGATGTTCATGTATTTGCTTTGGAATACAAAATGGGAGATGGACAACGTATTTATCTTGTAACAACCTATGCTCAGCTTTGGTTTTACTATAAATCCCGGTAAGTTGTTTGTAACAGAACAACACATTAGTTATATTTACTAAATCTAGAAATTTTGGTGAAATTGAGGCTGGATTAGCATTCACAGTTCTTGACTATATGGTTATTTCTTTCCTGTCAGAATTAATCTCCGCAGTTCCTTCTCATGGCATCACGCAGTTGTCTCACCAAGTGTTGAAGAAAATCGTACAAATACCTGTTCATGTATCCAAAGGAAATCCTTTTTCAGATACATATTAAATTGTACTATTAATCATAAATGAATACTCACATTATGTAATACCTGCTTTATCTGAGTGGCCTATTCAACTATGTTTCAGACTTGTGTATGGAAAAGAGTCAATATGGATGCCTTGTATTGACTTAAAAGTACTTTTATTACAAAGTTGCTTGAGTAGTTTTGTGTTTGTAAACATGCAACACCATGTAGATTTACTTACGTCTACATACATGCAGTGCCAGGTGGAGTTGAATTAAAATCATTAAGATAACATGAAAGATATTTTGCTGAAACTAAATCTCTTCGTGCAACATAAAGATGATGCTGACTGCTTCAGAGTATGTGTTGAGATCCAATCCTACCCATGCCATGTGATGATACAATTCTTTCACTTTTCTTCAAATTACTGCAAACCTTTTATCTGTAAAGGAGGCCAGCTGAACTTGACTTAGCCCACATATCATTTATTTACTAGGCTAGTGTCTATTCTTAATAAGCCATGTGAAAGTCATCCTCTGTACACCAACAAGAATAGAACTAGAAATATGAGCACTGGAAGTTTATTGAAATCAGCTAATTTAGAATTTTTTACCACTTTAAAAATATTATCTTCCTAACATAAAATTTTACAGTTCTTATGGAGAATTCATGGAATCCCAAGAGTGTGTCTGTCTGGGATCCCAGTTTGAGAAAGAACATTGTTTTCTCAATTTATTTCATAGTGACACCAAAACAAAATACAGAAATACTATACATGATCAAAATCATCTGTGTAATGAATAACACCATAGGATTGACTGTTTTCCAGTTAAGTAATGTTAACTGAGTATGATTGTTAAATCTTATTTAATAGAAATTGTTGACACTATGAGCCAGAAACCTGTTGTGAACAGGTTCATGTTATCTTGTCATTATTTCCTAGTTACCTGTACTTAAGCATAGTTAACACAGTACTTGATGAGATCAACTTCCATCATTTAAAAGGTACAAATATAAATAATACTTTTGAATTATTCAATTTAGAAAAAATCTCTTGCACTGCTATGAAGTTATTCCTGAAAATGCTGTGTGCAAGCTTTATTTTGATTTGGAATTTAACAAACCTGCCAATCCAGGAGCTGACGGGAAAAAGATGGTTGCATTACTCATTGAGGTAAATGGGAGACTCAAATTTTTTTCTTTGTAGCTGTCCATTCATCTCTTCATTCAGTTACTCAGTCCTATCTACGTAACGTTTCTCCTCCTTTTCTTGTGACTTTTCCTTGTGGATTTGATTTTTAAATATTACTTCTTGGTAAACTGTGAAAAGTCCAACTTATGTCCACATATTTTGTACTATTACTATACCTGGATTTAAAAAAAAAAAAAAGCCTTGAGGGGCTGGCGCTGTGGTGTAGTAGTTTAAGCATCTGCCTGTGGCACCAGCATCTCATATGGTTGCCGGTTCAAGTCCTGGCTGCTCTGCTTCTGATCCAGCTCCCTGCTGATAGCCTGGGAAAGCAGTAAAAGATGGCCCAAGTGTGTGGGCCCTGCACTGTGTGAGAGACACGGAAGAAGCTCCTGGCTTCAGATCAGCCCAGCTCCAGCTGTTTCGGCCATTCGGGGAGTGAACCAGTAGATGAAAGACCTCTCTCTGTCCCTCTCTCTTTAACTCTGCCTCTCAAGTAAATTTTTTTTTTTAGCCTTCATAAAGATAGAAATTTTGGGATTATCTGCGGTTTGCAGTAACATGTTAATTCTCTAATCTCCATCACAAATAGCCAATGCTGGTAAAGACCAGGTAAAGTAATTGTACTATAAAAATTGATACTGAAATGAACTTAAAGGAATCTTGGACTAAAAGTAGTATCAATGTTTGAACTGGCGGGAATTCTGGAAAGCATTTTTTTCTTGTAGCTTCATGAAAGAGGAAAGACCTAGAAGAGACTCCTACCCAGTGCTCTGCAGCTAGTTGTTTACAAAACCTTGTCTAGAAATACCATTGTCACTGTTAGCAACTTTCAGAAAAAGAATGTAGTTCTAGTATTTTTAGTTTAGCTGCGTCAAACAGGAAGTTACTAAAAAGGATAATGTGGGTTTGAACAGCTAAGTTCTATTAGGATTATTTTTTAAAAATTTAAAGATTATATTCTATGAAGTTGTATTAAAAATGTGTAGATGGGGCAGGCACTGTGGCGTAGCAGGTAAAGCTGCCACGTGCAGTGTTGGCATCCCATGTGGGTGCTGGTTCGGGTCCCGGCTGCTCCACTTCCCATCCAGCTCTCTGCTGTGGCCTGGGAAAGCAGTAGAAGATGACCCAAATCCTTGGGCCCCTGCACCAGCATTGGAGACTGGAGGAAGCTCCTGGCTCCTGGCTTTGTATTGGTGCAGCTCCAGCTGTTGCAGTCATCTGAGGAGTGAACCAGTGGATGGAAGACCTCTCCCTCTCTCTCTGCCTCTCTGTGTAACTCTGACTTTCAAATAAAATAAATCTTTAAATAAAAAGGATTGACTATTGGCCTCTAAGTAGGTACTAACATTGTTTTAAATTGTTAACTGAATAATAATTTTGTAGGTGAGCCATTTTATAACTTTTCAGATGTATACAGATTTAAGTGTATCTGATTTTGTTAGACCTCTGCATGTTTGACTACATTTATTTGAAAAATGTAAGCAAATACCTTTAAATATGTTAGATTTTCGTATCTTTGAAGTAGGCAAAATAGACATAAAACCTCCACCCCAAAAAAGCCATTTTCCTTGAAATAGTAAATTGTGTTAAATGTTATATTTTCGGTAATCTGTAAATATTGACTTGTTAATGGTGTCTGAGGTACGTTTACCGTCCAAAATAGGGTCTATTGTGTATGTTCTATGTGTCCTATGCGGAATTATAATTTAGAGACTTTTCATTGGCACTTAACTATGGTTATGCCAGTAATAAATAAGTACTATATGGTCTGAGAAACTAGGAATTCCCATAATATCAACACTAACAAACACCATTTTTACATAGATTAAACACATGTGGCAAACATCATGCAAGTTCTTCAACTTTTTTTCCTGAATTCTTTATGATGCCTTAGTCTTGGACAACTAATCTGTATCAGCAAAAGCTGGGGAAAAAGGAATTAAGTTAAAAATTTATTTAATATAAATTTAGCATTTTTATTTAACTTGTTTAGCATGTTGGTAGAACAGTTCTTATTAGGAATATTTTAATATAGTGCCTTTGTATATGAGTATATTTGAAATTATTTTTGTTTATTTTTTATGTAACAAGTTTATAATCCAGTAAGTACTATATCTTTTACATGTCTGTATGAATATGTATAAATTAGGTTAACTCTTAACAGGTGGTTTATAAATAACTGGTTAATAGTAACTAGTCATAATATGTAATATCCTTTGATTCAGTGACTTAATGGACAAGTTTCCATAAGTCAGCTAATTAGAATGAATTCCAGTGCTAACGCTTTTTTAAAAAATTCATTTATTTTGAAAGGCAGAGTGAGAGGGGCAAGGAGAGAGAGAGAGTGGAGAGGGGAGGTCTTCATCCACTCCCCAAATGGCCGCACTGGCTGGAGCTAAGCTGATCTGAAGCCAGGAGCCTGGAGCTTCTGGGTCTCCCATGCGGGTGCAGGAACCCAAGGGGCCACCTTCTGCTTTCCCAGGCCATAGCAGACAGCTGGATTGGAAGTGGTGCAGCCGGGACTCGAACCAGTGCCACTATACCAGCTACCACTATGCCACAGCGTTGGTCCCATCTAATGCATTTTATAAAGCCTTTCAACAGATAACATTCTTTTATTTTATTTTATTTTATTTTATTTTTTTTATTTTTTGACAGGCAGAGTGGACAGTGAGAGAGAGAGAAAGGTCTTCCTTTTGCCGTTGGTTCACCCTCCAATGGCCGCTGCGGCCGGCGCGCTGCAGCCGGCGCACTGTGCTGATCTGATGGCAGGAGCCAGGTACTTCTCCTGGTCTCCCATGGGGTGCAGGGCCCAAGCACCTGGGCCATCCTCCACTGCACTCCCTGGCCACAGCAGAGGGCTGGCCTGGAAGAGGGGCAACCGGGACAGAATCCGGCGCCCCAACCGGGACTAGAACCTGGTGTGCCGGCGCCACAGGCAGAGGATTAGCCTAGTGAGCAGCGGCGCTGGCCCAGATAACATTCTTAAAGAAATCACACATTTTTAACTTCTGGATTCTATAAATTATTCAAATAACAATTTTCTTTATAAAGTATTTTTAAAAAGAACTTAAAGGCATAGACATGTGTACATGTTTGTGGGGTACCATGTGTGTTCCGTGATGTATATGGTGTATAATGTCCAGTCAGGGGAGTTATCTTTTCCAGCATTAGCATTTCTTTCCCATGAAAACATGGAAAAATCCCATCTTCTACTTTTTAAATAGAGAAGTATACAGTCAAATAATGTTATCTTCAGCCCACTGTGTAATAGAACCCCAGAATTTCTTATTCCTATCTAGCTATAGCCTGGTACCCATCAATCAACCTTTGCCCATCCCTCCCTTGTCACTTCCTACTCTAGCCTCTGTAACCACAATTATATTTTTAACTTCTGTGAGATTACCTAATTTTTTTAGAGTCCACATATGAATGAGATCATATGATACTTGTTTTTCTGTGCTTGGCTTATTTCACTTAACATACTGACCTCCACTTGCATCCACATTGTTGGAAATGACAAGACTTTTTTTTTTTATAGCTGAGTAATAGTGATATATACCCCACATCTTTATCCATGCATTCGCTGATGGCCACCTGGCTATTGTGAGTAGTGCTGCAATAAACACGGGCATGCAGTTAGCTGTTTGGCAGATCGATTTCATTTCTCTTAGATATATGCCCAGAAGAGGGGTTCCTGGGTCACATGGTAGTTCTATTTTTAGTGCTTTGAGGAACCTCCATGCTATTTTCCACAATGATTTTATGTTTACATTTAAAGAACTTAAATGTTTATGTAGGGGTCAGCAGTGTGACACAAGAGGTTAAAGCCCTGGCCCAAAGTGCCAGCATCCCATGTGGGTGCTGGTTCGAGTCCCGGCTGCTGCACATCCAATCCGGCTCTCTGCTATGGCCTGGAAAAGCAGTAGAGATGGCCCAAGTCCTTGCCCCTTGCATCCACATGGGAGGCCCAGAAGCAGCTCCTGGCTCTCTGGATTCAGATCAGTTCAGCTCTGGCTGCTGTGGTCATCTCGGGAGTGAACCAGCAGATGGAAGACTTCTCTCAATCTGGCTCTACCTCTCTGTAACTCTGAAAAAAAAAAAAATGTTTGCTTAAAGTTTCACTTGGGAAAGAGAATCTAATAGAGTGTGATTACTTATATTACCTAGGGTACCTAAATTTATTCTCTGTAGTTCCAAAGCTAACAACTCAGCTTTATTCATTTAGTAAAATATTTTCAAGTTTTGCTAAGCATCAGACACAGTGCCTTGCCTTGGGAATATAATAGTGAGCTTAAAGTTTGAGTTCAAGGAATTTATAATCTAATCTAGGGTAGATGTAATTTAAACAAGATACAACCTTATTTCTGTCTCATGTAACATCCAGTGTGGCTCCACTGTTAGGGACTAGTCTTTTGCTTTGCTGTTCCTAAGATGTTGCCTTATTGATACTGTCCAAGGTGGCTCACCCCAAGTTGTCTGCCTTCTAGTCAGTTGAATGGAGAAGAGCCGCGCCTACGTCTCCCCTTTAAGAATGAAGCCTAAAGTGGCAAACCACCTTCGTCTGACCCCCTACTGGCAAGACTTGGACACATGCCTGTGCCCTATTATAACAGAGTGGGGGAAGTATCTTTGTTCTAGCTGGCCTCCATTTAGCTAAAAATTGTGGTTCTGTTTCTAGGGAAGAGGGAGAAATTAGATGTTGGGGGATAACCTCTGTGATACAGAGGAAACATCAAGACAATCAAGTAAATGAACAAGTAAAATAGTAACTAAGTACTAGAAAGTGAGTTGGACTACATGGGGGAATTTGATGCAGACTGGGACACTGAGGCCACCTTTTGAGAAAATGAGAATTGAAAAGTATGAAGGGGAGTGTGGTGCTAGAATAATGCCAAAGTGATGCTAATTTTTTTTAAAAAGATTTGTTTATTTGAAAGAGTTACACAGAGGAGAGGCAGAGAGAGGTCTTCTACCCATTGGTTCACTCCCCATTGGGCCACAATGGCCGGAGCTGTGCCAGTCAGGAGCCAGGAGCTTCTTCCAGGTCTCCCACATGGGTGCAGGGGCCCAAGGTCTTGGGCCATCTACTGCTTTCCCAGGCCATAATAGAGAGCTGGATTGGAAGTGGAGCAGCTGAGTCTCGAACCTCTGCCCCGTATGGGATGCCGGCGCTTCAGGCCAGGGCGTTAACCTGCTCTGCCACAGTGCCGGCCCCAGCTAATAATTCTAATTTAGTGCGTAACTGTTGGGTATCGAAGTATTTGGTGGTGCTAAACCTTTTGGCTAATCTCAACCCTATCTGGAGGTTCTTAGTGGTTTCATTTTGCAAATGAGAAGACTGAAGCCTAGGGAGAAGTGCCTTGTGTTAAGGTTGCATAGCCAATACTTCTAGGCACTTACATGTGCCAGGCACTGTGCTATCTCTTTAATCTCGTTTTCTTATTTTACTCCTTTCATGATTCCAAAGTTAGCTGCTATTTTTCCTGCTTAGCAGTTGAAGAATGTATTTAGGTTTGATTAAACTTAGAGGTGGTAAACATCAAAACCAGAACTCAAACTTAGATCTCTGACTTCAAATCTTTTGTTCCAAGTATGTGCTTGCTGCCTTTCCACAATGCATGACTGCTTTCCATGTCAGTGTCTTCTAGCACCAAAGGTGGTTTCTTGGAAGTGGTTTTGTGTTCAGTATGAATGAGAAATTTTCTGAGAATTGGAACTATAAAAAAAAACTTTTAAACTCAGAGGTGACATTTAAAGAGATGCTTAAAATATTTTTAATGTGATTGTAGAGGAGGTTAATGTACAAATTGTTTGGCTGCTAAGAGGCCTCTTCAATCCTGAGAGCCTGATTTTTTTAAAAATATAAACATAATTTAAAAATTACAGGTCTTCAGTTTATAAATAAATTAGTAAGGTTATATTGTACACAACCTGATAGTAAAGCTAACTAATTTTTTTGACAGGCAGAGTTAGAGAGACAGAAAGGTCTTCCTTCCTTTGGTTCACCCCCCCAAATGGCCACTACGGCCGGTGTGCTGCGCTAATCACGAGCCAGGTGCTTCCTCCTGGTCTCCCATGCAGATGCGGGACCCAAGCACTTGGGCCATCCTCCACTGCACTCCCGGGCCACAGAAGAGAGCTGGACTGGAAGAGGAGCAACCAGGACAAAACCAGTGCCCCGATCGGGACTAGAATCCAGGGTGCCGGCGCTGCAGGCGGAGGATTAGCCTAGTGAGCCGTGGCGCTGGCCAGTAAAGCTAATTTGTAATGATTTTGTATTAGTTAAACTTACTGGTACCAAGATACTTGAATTTTGTTCATAGAACATTTTTAAAACAAAAAACAGAAGTATTTACGCTTTGTGTTTTTAGCATGTCTGTAGAGCACTTCAGGACTTATATAGTGTAAGGTGCTCAGCTGAAGATGTTTTCAACTTGGATTCTAGCACTGATGAAAAATTTAGCCGCCATCTGATATTTCAGCTCCATGATGTGGCATTTAAAGATAACATCCATGTTGGTAAGTGCACTGGTTTTTAAAAATTCATGGAGTTATATTAAAAACTCTTAGTTTTCCTATTCCTCTTGAAATTTTTAACAATACTTGCTAGATTTTATGGTAATTAACCTAAAATGTGATGTTTCGTGTTTTCAGGATTTACTGATACAGACCTGTCATCCAGGCACATCAGCCTACTCAAGATATAGTTGGCATTAGTGGTTCTCATCACAGGTATTTAGGTGGCCATGTATGTCCTGACATGGTCTCTACTGCAGTAGGGTTCATTTTTTGTTTTCTAGATAATTCTGAGAGGCTTTTCCATTTCAAGCCTTACCTATGATGCTTCATACCTGGATTTTTGACCTTTGTTTTAGCTATGGGGCTTGGATCCCAGGTCATGTCAAGGAAGGCTTATTTATTATTCCAGGCAGAATTTAAGGATTCAGATGACGTCTAGATATATAATCCTGAAAGTATAACCAGAGTATTTTCCCAGGGCTGGGCATTTATAGATAACAGGTTCAGGTATAAAACCAAGTCAGTCCCACAGAGAAACAAATAGGAACAATGAAAACACCAAAAATCAAGGTCTCAATAAAAGCCAAAATCCTGAGTATTTATCAAAGCAGTGATAGGACAAGTTTTGGGGTTCAAACCAGTGATTGACTGAAGTTCAGGTAACAGATAATGTGTCTCAGAGCTACAAGTGTTTTACAGTCTCACAGCCACATGGGGTAAAGGCATGAACATAGTAGCTAGAGGACTGACATAAACATCAGGAACCTGAAAACTAGTTTAGGATAATGCCAGGTCACAGTGACCTAGTATGCTGTGTACACTGGTCTCCTCATTATCTCTGTTATCTGCCCCCTTGATTGTTCTCTCTCTTTCTCACCCTTAGATCCTAGTAATTGTGGGATCTGTCCTTGTCCCTCTTCCTACTGTTCTCACTTGGATGGTGACCACAATCATTACTTAAATCATCACCTATGTCCTGACTCTCACACCTTTATCTTCAGCCCAAATTGTTCTCATATAGCCAGCTGACTACTAAATGTCCTTATACACACTTCAACTCAGCATGTCCTAGAACAATCTTGGCTCCTCCTTCTGTGTCACTTCTGTGTCCCTGTCCATCTACTTACCGAAGTAGAAATGTTGGTGTCCTCTTATGTGTACCTGCTTTTTGAGTCAGCCAGTGTGAGCTGATGAAGCTCTCAAACCTCTCAAGGGTTATTCGTTACCTTCACAAAGATGTACTGATGTCTTAGTTTGCAAAACGAGGCCTACTGTGCCCTAGCTGGTCTGTCCCTATCTGCCCTTCTTGCTCAGCTCCCACTGTGGCCTGCATGTTCTCTTATCCTTGGGCCTTTGCACTGTTCAATTCTGTCTGAAGAGCCATACCTCCTGTTCTCCCAGTCTGTCAAGACTCAGCGTACATATCAATTCATCGGTTTTTGTCACATCCAAACCCTATGATACAGGTTACTATTCCGTAGGGTTGTAGAAAGCACCCAGTGCTTATTGTCAGAGCATTTGCTGCTTCTTGTTTTCTTCATCTTTATTCCACTTAATGTTTCTTTAGGGACGTAACTATTGATTTTTCTTTTCCCTTTGTAATTTTTTAGAGCTACATTATATGTCATAATATATATTTTATTAAAATTATTTTAAATGTTTTGATTAACAAGTAATACTAGCACATTTTTATGGGATACAGTGCAAAATTTCAAAAGATATGATGCTATAAGCTGATCAAAGCAGGCAGCCAACATACCCACCTCCCTACCTTTCCTCCACATTTACAGCCTACTAGTTCCTCTCCTCCAGTTCTTTATATGGTACACAACATGTTACTGTGATCTGTAGTTGTCCATCTGTGCTATGAAGCACCTTGTACCCCAAAACCACACTCCTCTATCTCCCACACTTCCCAGTCTCTAGTAATCACTGCTCTAAGTTCTTATTGACTGTCGTTTTTAACTTTCATGTATCAAAAAGAACACGTGTTAACTTTCTGTGTGTCACTTCTTTCACTTAATGTAATGACTACCAATTTCAGTTATTTTGCCTCTAATGTCAGGATTTCATTCCTTCTGATGGCTGACTAATGTTCCATTGTGTATGTATACCATATTTTCCTTATCCATTATTTATCCATGGACACTTAGGTTTTCTATAGCTTGGCTATTATGAATGGTGTTGCAAAGCACATGAGAATGAAGGTATCTCTTTCATATGCTGATGTCATTTCCATTGGATACTTACCCAGAAGCAGGATAGCTGGGTCATATGATTGATCTATTTATTGTATTTCCAGATATATTGTATATTACTACATTATAATATTGTCCATAATACCATTAATACAGCAGCAGCAATAATAAATACAAGTAGGCATTTAATATTTGCTGAGTTAGTGCCTACTTAGCATGCCTGCATTATCAGGGTATAGAGGGCAGAGTCCTAGCCAGGATATTTCTTTGATCCCTATGTATACTTCCTCATAGGCTGCTCTTTAAATACTAACCAGGAGGCTAAAAACTGAGAATCTGTTGCTAGGGAAGAAGGGCAGAGAGAAGTATGCCAGGTCCTTCACAGTCTGCTACAGTGTCTCCTGAAAGCAGATGACATTCATTCTAGACTGTGAATGAATTTCCTTCATATAGTCAAAGGTAAGACAGGCTTTATTAGAATAGCACAAGCAAAGGAATAGAGTTTGGAGTTTGTGGTTAACTTGGGGATCAGTCGACAATCTAGTGTAACTAAAGCTAAAGCCATAATCAGACCTGATAAATGGAATGTCTTCTGAGGCTCTTTCCTCTTAAATTGTGTACTTCCAGAAACAGAGAGGCGGAGAATATGAAGCAGTCAAAAATTTCCCTTCAGTTCCCCTCCCTCTTGATAATATTTCTAGTTGTTATTGTTGGCCTTTTGGGAAAGGGAACAAAGTTAAATGTGAGTGATCAGACTTTGATCTTTGCAAACATGCTCTTGTGCCAATTTACTATAGTACTGCAGATATCTGTGATTGGTTAGTTCTTTTGAGATAGTCCCTGCCACTGAGATAGACCAAAGAGGGGATGGGGTAATAAGACTGAAGCCTGGAAACAGAAGGCAGAGCTATTGGGGGGGGGGGGGACAGTATGTTGGTGTTCACGTGACTGGCTGTCATTGTGCCGTGGACACATTAGCTCCTTGCCAAGGTTCAAAGGCTTAGCCGGCCTCTTCAGTGCTACTGTCAAACATCTGCAACTGTAGACTCACTTCGCTTATTGTCTAGAGTCAAGCAGATAGAATTTTAAATTTCCAGGAAAACTAACTTCGTCAATTTATGTTTATATTGCTTTGTTGTCCTTTGATGTGTCATCGTTTCCTCTCGGTGTTTACCTTCTCTCTAATTCCAGAAGTAATCATGTCTGTGTATCATTGGATCAAATGCTTTTGCTTTCATTTTGATGTTTTACAAGAAATTGTACTTATTTCTTTAAGTAGGAAAGTAATTAATCCTGTGATTTTAAGTACTAAAGCCTTCCTGGTAAATGAAGTGACAAATCCAGACTATGACACTTGCAGAGATTAAAATTAAGTAATTTTTTATAGTATTGCATTTCACCAGTATTGCTACACACAACAGCAGTGTAAAAGCCAAATTGTTACTTGGTCTTGTGATATAGGATATATATAGAGAGAGTTTAAAGAATTCCATGTTGCCTTGCCAACTTCTCATGGTAGTGTGGATCACTTTTTTTTTTTTTTTAAGTAAGCAAGGCAGGCCATTTATTAATATCTGAATAATCATTTTTTGAGGTTTAAATCTTTAGTCTCCTTTTCCCCAGAGAAACCTTTTATTTAATGAATACAAATGTCATGCATTTCATAATTACAACTTTAGGAACATAGTGATTCTTCTCATTGTACCTGCTCTCCCACCGTCTACCTCTTCCCTCTCCAATTCCCACTATTATTCCCCCCCCCCAAAGAAACCTTTTAAGGAATACAGACTTCATGCATTTTATAAGTACAATTTTAGAAATATAGTGATTCTTCTCACCATACCTGCTCTCTCACCCACTCTCCCACCCCTCCTCCTGCTCCCTCTCCCATTCCCAGTCCCATCCTCCACTAAGATCGATTTTCAGTTAACTTTATACACAGAAGACCAACTCTATACAAGAGTTCAATAATTTGGCCGGTGCTGCGGCTCAATAGGCTAATCCTCTGCCTGTGGCGCCGGCACACCAGGTTCTAGTCCCGGTCAGGGCGCCGGATTCTGTCCCGGTTGCCCCTCTTCCAGTCCAGCTCTCTGCTGTGGCCCGGGAGTACAGTGGAGGAAGGCTCAAGTGCTTGGGCCCTGCACCCCATGGGAGACCAGGAGAAGCACCTGGCTCCTGGCTTCGGATCAGCATGGTGTGCCGGCCGCAGCGTGCCGGCCGCGGTGGCCATTGGAGGGTGAACCAACAGCAAAGGAAGACTTTTCTCTCTGTCTGTCTCACTGTCCACTCTGCCTGTTAAAAAAAAAAAAAATTAAAAAAGTTCAACAATTTGCATGGAAAAAAAAAAAACAAAACTGCTCCTCAACAACTGAGAAAAGGGCTGTTCAAAATCATTGCATCTTGAAATGTTTCTAAAAAGTGAAATTAAACTTCAAAGAAGCATCTAAAAATGATACATCTTTTGCAAGCACTTAGACATAATTATAATACAACTCTTTGAGGATAGAGATCCTGCATGGGAAGTTAGTACACAGTGACTCCTGTTATTAACGTAACAGTTAACACTCTTAGGTATGATGTCAGTGACCACCCAAGGCTCTTGACATGAGCTGCCTAGGCTGTGGAAGCCTTTTGAATCCACAGTCTCTGTCAATCTGTAGCCAAGGCCATAAACAAAGTTCAAGTACTCTCCTCGCTTCAGAGAAAAATTCCTCCTTATGTCCACTTCTTTCCACTAGGGTCTCACCTGCCAAAGTCCTTTATATAGGACATTTTTTTTGCCACAGTGTCTTGGCTTTCCAT